CGCGATAAATCGAACTCGGAACTTCGATCCCCAGCCGCCGAACTAGCGCGGCAGTGTAGACCAGCCCTTAGTTTCATTCCTTCCATCTCTTTCTCTGTCTCTTTTGTCTCAGTCTGATTTTCCCCATGCTTAATGCTTAGCGAACATTTCAGTTAATTTTTCTCTCAGATTGTTCTTCGTTCACCTCCATTTTCTCATCTTTTTCTGACTGCCTCTTTTCAACTCTCTTCCCCTCCCATTTCCCCTTATTTATTTTCTCTTTCTTGCGCAGATTTTTTTTTCTCTCCCATTTTTCGAACTCCAACTTTTTCTGTGGTTCTGGTAAGTGATTCCCTTTCTCTTGGTTTCCTTGAGTTCTCTCTCCGCCTCCTTCTTCTGTTCTCTTTCAGTCTTTCCATGTATTCTCTCTCTTCCTCTCAGGTCCCTTAATCAATCCATCCTCTCCTCTTTCTTCCCCAGAGTGTGCTCTCTCTTTCTTCTTCCCTACCTCTTCTCTTGTCCCCATTTCCCCCTGCTTATCTCCCACTCTCTTCTGGCTTTCCTTCCCCCAGACTTCATTCTCCCTCTCCTTTTCCCTCCCATCGTGCTCACTTCCCCCTCCTGGTTCTCTCAATAATCCCTCCCCTTCACCCACTTTTTTCTTCTTCCAGTATCCTCCTCCAAGCTCTCCCTCCCTTAGGATCATACTTTAGGTTTTGGGAGGCTGTAGGGTGACCAGACAGCAAGTGTGAAAAATCGGGACGGGGGGTAATAGGAGCCTATATAAGAAAAAGACCCAAAAATTGGCACTGTCCCTATAAAATCGGGACATCTGGTCACCCTAGGAGGATGTGAGGACCTTTCTGCTAATCCTTCTTCCCTTTGTGAGGAGAAGTGTGTTCCAAGGTGATGAGGGCGGCCCCATCTTCTGTTTGTGTGGCGAGGAGAGCTGTCTAGAGGGTGACTGATTGTTCTTGTGGCCCTCAGGAAGAGGTGTGTCATGGGGAAGCAGTAGGGAGCTGCTGGGAATCTTCTCTCCCTTCAACCATGGTGAGATTGTTTTTTCTCCATCTCCTGAGGTCATAAGGGTGTGGAGCACAAAGAGGAGTTGCATAGTTCTTCTCTTCTTTTTTTCCCAAGGCAATGAGCATTAAAGTGCTGGAACATACAGAAACCACATAGGTTGCTGCTCTATGGTTGATCTCTGCCTGGAGAAGACTCCACTCCTCATACATTCATAGTGGGAGGTACATCTCTGTGGTTGTCTCCCAGCAAGTATTACAGAGCCATTTCTTCAAAGCGTTGAAAAAACCTTGGGGAAGAGGTGGGACAGGGCTTGCTTTCTCTCAAAAAAGCAGGATGTTGCATTTCTGACAAGACATTCAGATCTTTGAATTTGTTTTTAGGACTACACCTCTACCTCGATATAACGCTGTCCTCGGGAGCCAAAAAATCTTACCGCGTTATAGGTGAAACCGTGTTATATTGAACTTGCTTTGATCCACCGGAGTGCGCAGCCCTGCCCTCCCGGAGCACTGCTTTACCGCATTATATCCGAATTCGTGTTATATCGGGGTAGAGGTGTATATAAATTCTAGTTTGCTGTTCTGTAACTTTCACTGAAAATGCTTTATCAGCTTTAACTTTTGCAAAGTATAAATCTCAATAAGCTGACCGTTCATTTTTATTTAATTTGATTTAATTTAAATCCTTTTCTCACTACTGTTGGTATTATTATGAATTCAGCTGTCAATTTGGATTCTGTCTTTAAGGAGAAAAAATCCTTCATTTAACTTTGCAGAGAGGGTCCTACAGGATACAGTTGTGACACCAGTCCACTGTACACTGTACTCAGTCAAATGGCCTGGGCAGACAGGCCTAACCCCAGAAGATGTGCTGCACAATGTAAAAGGCAAGTAACACATAAAGGAGAGATGCTCAGAGGCCAAAACAGGAGACGAAGGTGGAGACGTGTCCAGATGTGACAGTGGCCATGGGCAGCTTACTTGGGGTCATTTATATTGTAAGCTCATCAGGGCAGGGACATCTTTTACTACATACATGTACAGCACTTAGCCCAATAGGGCCCCAATCCTAGATGGAGCCTCTAGGCACAACTGCGACACAAATAATAATAATGGGGACTCAGAGTGCTAGTGTAATGTATATGTGAAATAATAATGGAGAGCAAGACCAAAACAAGGAATCAGTGGACATCATTTATGTCTGTATATAATAGCTGTGGTGAATATTAAATTAATTTGGTTCTGGGGAAAAATGCCAGAACTACAGCTTTGGAGACTAAAGTCATCTATTAATTTACAGAGTAGACACAGCACGCTTGGGCAGCTGAAGTGAAAGCTTCTTCCTTAATGTCCCCTCATTGTGCCTCTGTTCCGAGCTAGTGAGAGAGTTCTGAGGAGATCAGTTCATGATCATGTAGTGTTTGGCTTCTCTATTGAAAATGGCACTTACTGCCAACAGTAGTGATGGTTTTATGATATGAATACTTGTCCAATGGTATCCGGAGTGAGGTTATAAACTCACTTTCAGTAGATCCACAGTAGCCATCTGATTACATTTGGACAGTGATGAATTGGTAACGTAAGAAAGTAAGAACATAAGAATGGCCATACTGGGTCTGACCCTGGGTAATGTCCCAGTATCCTGTCTTCTGACAGTGGCCAATGCCAGGTGCTTCAGAGGGAATGAATAGAACAGGCCATCATGGAGTGATCCATCCCCGGTTGTCCACTCCCAGCTTCTGGAAATCAGAGGGTAGGGACACCCAGAGCATGGAATTGCTTCCATGACCATCTTGGCTAATAGCCGTTGATGGACCTATCCTCCATGAATTTATCTAATTCTTTTTTGAACCCTGTTATAGTTTTGACTTTCACAACATCTCTTGACAACAAGTTCCACAGGTTGACTGTGCATTGTGTAGAGAAGTACTTCCTTTTGTTTGCTTTAAACATGATGGTTCTTGTGTTATGTGAAGGAGTAAATAACACTTCCTTATTCACTTTTTCCACACCATTCATAATTTTATATTTCTCTAGCATATCCCGCCTTAGTGGTCTCTTTTCCAAGCTGAAAAATCCCAGTCTTTTTAATCTCTCCTCATATAGAAGCTGTTCCATACCCTTAATCATTTTTGTTGCCCTTCTCAATTCTAATATATCTTTTTTGAGATGGGGCAACCAGAACTGCACAAAGTATTCAAGCTCTGAGCGTACCATGGATTTATATAGTATCATTATGATATTTTCTGTTTTATTATCTATTCCTTTCCTAAAGGTTCCTAACATTCTGTTATCTTTTTTGACTGCTGCTGCACTTTGAGGAGATGTTTTCAGAGAGCTATCCACAATGACTGCAAGATCTCTTTCTTGACTGATAACTGCTAATTTAGATCCTATCACTTTCTATGTATAGTTGGGATTATGTTTTCAATTGTGCATTTCTTTTCATTTATCAACATTGAATTTCATTTGCCATTTTGTTACCCACTTTCGTGAGATCCCCTTGTAACTCTTCACAGTCTGCTGTGGACTTAACTATCTTGAGTAAGTTTGTATCATCTGCAAATTTTGCCACCTCATTGTTTATCCCTTTTTCCAGATCTTTTATGAATATGTTGAACATCACTGGTCCCAGTACAGCCTCTGGGGGGACACCACCATTTACCTCTCTCCATTTGGAAAACTAACTATTTATTCCTATTCTTTGTTTCCTGTCTTTTAACCAGCTACTAATCCATGAGAGGTCCTTCCCTCTTATCCCATGACTGCTTACTTTGCTTAAGAGCCTTTGGTGAGGGACCTTGTCAAAGGCTTTCTGAAAGTCCAAGTACACTATAGCCACTGAATCACCCTTGTCCATATTTGCTGACCCCCTCAAAGAATTCTAATAGATTGGTGAGTCATGATTTCCCTTTACAAAAGCTCTGTTGAATCTTCCCCAGAAACCTGTGTTCATCTATGTGTCTGATAATTCTGTTCTTTACTATAGTTTCAACCAATTTGCCTGGCCATGAAGTTAGGCTTATTGGCCTGTAATTGCCAGGATTGTCTCTGGAGTCTTTTTAAAGAATTGGTGTCACATCAGCTATGCTCCAGTCATCTGGTACAGAATCTGATTTAATTGATAGGTTACATACCATAATTACAGGTTTCAGAGTAGCAGCCATGTTAGTCTGTATCCATAAAAAGAACAGGAGTACTTGTGGCACCTTAGAGACTAACAAATTTATTTGAGCATAAGCCTTCGTGGGCTACAGCCCACTTCATCGGATGCTTATGCTCAAATAAATTTGTTAGTCTCTAAGGTGCCAAAAGTACTCCTGTTCTTTATACCATAATTAGTAGTTCTCCAATTTCATATTTGAGTTCCTTCAGAACTATTGGGTGGATACCATCTGGTCCTGGTGACTTATTACTGCTTAATTTATCAACTTGTTCTCAAACCTCCCCAATTGACACCTCAATCTCAGATTTTTCTTCAGATCTGTCACCTAAAAAGAATGGCTCAGGTGTGGGAATCTCCCTCACATCCTCTTCAGTGAAGACCGATACAAAGAATTCATTTAACTTCTCTGCAATGGCCTTATCTTCCTTGAGTGCTCCTTGAGCATCTCAATCATCCAGTGGCCCCACTGATTGTTTGGCAGGCTTCCTGCTTCTGATGTATTTTTTGGTGTTAGTTTTTGAGTCTTTTGCTAGTTACTCTTCAAATTCTTTTTTCTCCTGGCTAATTATAATTTTACACTTGACTTGCCAGAGTTTATGCTCCTTTCTGTTTTACTCTGTAGATAACTTAGAGGTGAAATACTCCATATTCAAGGAACCAGGCATTCCCTTGACAGACATTACTTTCCAAAAGTGCCACTAAAAATCTTTGAAACCTATATTTGAAACCTAGGGGATATTTTAAATAAGATTCACAATCATGATGCTTTTCCTTATTAGTTAAAACACATATTACTTGCTACATGACCAGGCTTGAGTAAAATCTCCTACCCTTTGTGCTTTTGGCATATCAGTGTGGCGCTGAGCACGTACAGAGCGTGCAGATTTGGGTGGCTTGATAGGAGCGCAGTACATTTCCAGCCTCCTCAGGTCACAGCTCTGGAAGCAGCATTCATCCACTATTCCCTTGTGGTGTAAACGTCTACTGCTGGATCCATACCCTGTTGGCTTACCTGCACACAACACAAATGGGAGAGTTTTATTGTTGGGGAAAAAATGCAAAAGCCTCAGTAGCACTCCTATGATAGGCTGCATTATTATAGCTGGAATACTGGTGATAGCTGTAGTTAAGGCTGCCTATGTGTTTCCATTCTAAGATCCTTTCTTCGTTGCTCATAACTCTCTGAATCATTCACCTGAAAATGTCCAGGCTTTGTCTGTGCCTAAGAGCTATTTTATTTTAACCATTGAGAAAAAACATATCTTTTCTTATTATAAAAATGTTGTAAAAATGTTTTTGGAACTATTTTAGCACTAAAGAGGTTGAGGGTAGGAAGCTTAAATTTGGCAATGTACCTGTCATCATTTGGGTGAAAACTGACTTTGAATTGGCAGAATTAGGAGTGATTAAAGATCATAATTTGTTCATAAAAATTATAGAAAAGTAGGACTGGAAGGGACCTTGGTAGAGGTCATCTAGTCCAGTCCCTTGCACTGAGGCAGTACTAAGTATTATCTAGACCAGTTCTGACAGGTGTTTGTCTAACCTGCTCTTAAAAACCTCCAATGACTTTGGGCTAGTCTACACTAGAATGGCTACAGTGGCTACACTAGAATGGCTACCGATGTAGCTGTGCCACTCTAGCGCTGCTAGAGCAGACGCTTTGTGCCAACGGGAGAGAGTTCTCCTGTCAGCATAATTACTCCACCTCCCTGAGCGGCAATAGCTTCTCCTGCTCACATAGCATGTCCACACCGGTGCTTAGCTAGATGTAACTTATGTCACTCGGGGGTGGCTTTTCCCTGAGCGACTTAAGTTATAGAAAAGTAAGCGCTAGTGTGTGCAAGCCCAGAGATTCCACTGCCTCCCTAGGTAATTTGACCCGTGCTTAACTACCCTTAAAGTTAGGAAGTTTTCCTAATGTCTAACCTAAATCTCCTTTGCTGCAATTTAAGCCCATTGCTTCTTGTCCTGTCCTAAGTGGTTAAGGAGAACAATTTGTTCTTATTGAATTTCATCCTACTTATTTCAGACCATTTCTCCAGTTTGTCAAGACCATTTTGAATTCTAATCCTGTCCTCCAGTGCGTTTGCAACCCTCCCAGCTTGCTATCATCCGCAAATTTTACAAGTGTATTTGGTATGCCATTTATCCAAATCATTTATGAAGATACTGAATAAAACCAGACCCAGAACAGATCTCTGCAGGACCCCACTCAATATGCCCTTCCAGCTTGATTGTGAACCATTAATAACTACACTCTGAGTATGATTTTCCAACCAGTTGTGCACCCACCGTATAGTAGGTTCATCTAGATTGTATTTCTCTAGTTTGTTTATGAGAAGGTCAGGTAAGACAGTATCAAAAGCCTTACTAAAGTCGAATTATATCACATGTACTGCTTCCCCACTATCCCGGCTTGCTACCCGGTCGAAGAAGAATATTAGGTTGGTTTGACATGATTTGTTCTTGACAAATTCATGTTGACTATTACTTATCACCTTATTGATAGGTGCTTACCTTGATTGTTTGATTATTTGCTCCATTATCTAAGCTGACTGGTCTATAATTCCCTGGGCTGTCCTTATTCCTCTTTTTATAGATAGGTAATGTATAGTAGTTTCTTTAAAATAATGGATAGTGCTGTTAAGATACTATTTCCTAACATTTTAAACAAAAGGGGGCTTCATTGAGCCTGCATGTGAGGCTAAAATTAAGTGTAAAGGGGGAAAATATAGTGAATTTCTACAGACTGTAAGATGTGGTTTAATCAGAAAACAGTAAGCAGTAGAAAGTAAGGTTGAGTTAGCACTAAACCAGTAAAATGCTGTAAAAGCAGTAAGCATTAAGGTGCATGGTGAGTGAGGGAATGCTGTATACTGCTACCTAGCACTGTATGATTGCGACACAATGCATGAAACAGGACTGGTATTGCATACTGTTTGCTGCTTATTGTACCCTATGGTCACTGATCAGCTGCGATAAGTGTGTGCTCTGTGAACGAGGCAGTGTTTGCCCATTAAATGTTTGCGAAAGTAAAACTTGATTCCACTAATGTTTACCCAATGTGAATGCAACAGGGGAACCAATGCAGCAGAAATGAATCCACTTAATAACTCAAATTGATGGTCACAGAAAATGTTTTGCAGTATTAATCCAGCTCTAACCAACAGTAATGTTATTAAAATCCCCACAACATCCACTTCTACTTTTCTCTCCTTCTGATCCATGTCTTCCTTCTTTCCGACTTTCTTTTTTTGATTTCTTGGCTAGTTTCTGCTTTTCTCTCCACTCTTTGACACCAGGCAGGGAGTTGGGCATGGAGCAGCCCTCTCTTTGCTGGGCCTGTAGTTTTACTACTACACAGTGATGACATCCAGTTGCACTGTCAGGAGACTGAGTTTTAGGAAGGGACAAGGGACTCAGCCTGGATGAAGAGTGAGACTATCACAAAGTTGATTAATTTAGTTTTTCATTGGGAAAATTTTGCTTCTTGCCCTTTTACAGTAAATTCTGGAGGCATAAAGACATCCTGGGGTTGTCAGTTTGGGGAAGATAGTACAGTTTGTACTCCTTTGTGATTAAAACAAATAATCACTGATCAAGAGCCTCTGAGACCATAGTACATCAATAAAAGAAAAGATTTTTTTTAGTGATAAAATATGTCTAACTTTTTAGCCAGGGATACCGTCAGCTCAGAACTAACTGTCCCTGTGAGCTTTGTAAACTTAAACAATAGGTTTTTTTTAAACATCCTTTTCCAGGGATTATAAATTAAAGAAAAAGAAAAACATGCTTATTTAGTACATTGTAATCCACTGAGGACCTCTATACTGTACATTCTCTGCTAAATTATTTGTTTCATAAGGATAAACAGGACAGCAAGCCAGTAATAGATTATAGTAATATTTTATGGTGTAGGGTTGTTTTTTTGGTGTGTTTGTGTGTGTACCACCGAAATGTCTTATAAATGTGCAGAGATAAAGAAATTTTTAAAGGATTATCTAGATTATTTTCACCCAGTAAGGAACACTACTACCTGTGAGATATGCAAGACTTGATTCTGAAGCTTTCTAACTTGATCTCCTCAGCATAACTTATTTTATAGAACTTAGTGTTTAGGAGTCAAAAATAGAGTGGCTCTTACTTTACCTGGTACTGGGAGCTGTCTCAGCCCTGGTCTACACTGGGGGGGGGGGGGGGGGATCGATCTAAGTTATGCAACTTCAGCTACATGAATAACGTAGCTGAAGTCGACGTACTTAGATCTACTCACCGCAGTGTCTTCACTGCGGTGAGTCGACTGCTGACACTCCCCCGTCGACTCTGCCTGTGCCTCTTGGCCTGGTGGAGTACAGGAGTCGACGGGAGAGTGCTCGAGGGTGGATTTATCACATCTAGACTAGACGCGATAAATTGACCCCCGCTGGATCGATCGCTGCCCGCCGATCCGGTGGGTATTATAGACATACCCTCAGATTCTCTCTGACTTATTTTACATTTAAATAATTGCAGCTTAAATTCTGTCCCTGGAAGTGCCTGTGTACCTCTCACTGACACAGATCATCAAACTATTCATAGAAACTAGTTTATTTATCAAATTTAGCTTTTTTCACTTTACATATTGCCCATTCACAGACTGTGATTTTAACAAATCTGTTGTGTCTTGTTTTAATTTAGGTTGTAAAATTTTGAGGTCAAGAACTTTATTTTTCACTTGATATGTGTTTTTACAGTACCTAGAAAGCACTAATCCTGACTGGGTCCTCTGGGCGCTACTGAATTACTAATAAACAGTCAGAATAATATGTTCACTGACGCAATGTTTATTAATTGCAATTTGAGTCGTATGCCTTTTTTGTCTAGAAAAGAAGAGAAATTACATTAATATATGGAGATATACCTATCTCATAGAGCTGGAAGGGACCTAGAAAGGTCATTGAGTCCATCCCCCTGCCTTCACTAGCAGGACCAAGTACTGATTTTGCCCCAGATCCCTAGGTGGCCCCCTCAAGGCTTGAACTCACACTCTTGGGTTTAGCAGGCCAATGCTCAAACCACTGAGCTATCCCTCCCCCCACGCTGCCAAAAAACAGAACCAATTCATGGTAGCCATGGCTGCTGTCTTCAGAGTAAGGCCCTGTTTTAGCAAAGCACTAAAACATGTACCTATGTCCATTCTTATTCAGAAAAGCCATTAAGCATGTGCTTAACTTCAAACACACAATTAAGTCCCATTGAAATGTGCTTTGCTGAATGGGGTTGGATGTAAACATGTACTTAAAGTTAAGCACATGCTCGAATGCTTTGCTGCATCAGGGCTTAAATGAGCCGAACAACATTATGGTGCTGGTTCTGAGAGGGTGCTCAAGACCAGGGAATCATCATCAAAAAGTCAGTCTGTTCTCAGTCATTCTGTTTATCTTAAGGTATGTAGAGTACAGACACAGCACACCCAGCTAGCACTGGTATAAATAGCAGTGTAGACAGTGAGACACTGCTTAGGTGAGTACAATAGAGACACACCAGAACCCTACGGTATATACCTTACATGGCTGTCTACACGCCCAAGCAGCACGTTCTATATCTACACTGCTATTTTTATCAGTGTAGTGTGCCACTACCTCCCCACTGCTGGAGTCTTTCCCTACTGCAGTGATAAGCTCTGATACTGGGACAGGCAGTAGGCAAAGGCTCTGGCAGCTCCCCACTGCTGGACCCTTTCCCTGCTGCCTCCTCCTTGCCACAGACTTTCACAGTGTGGACTTAGACTTCCTTTCACTGTGACATGGAGCTACATGTATCCCACATGCTGCTGCAAGAGTAGACAAAGTTTCATACGGTCCTTATCACCGCAATATCTGAGTCATTGGGAAAGTCACCATCGTTTTTCATCTATCTAAATGCTATGAGATTTCAGCGATAATCATAATATTTAATACTTATTTAGTGCCTTTCATGAAAAGATATCACAAACAATAAAGCCTCACAACAACCCTAGGAGGTAGGTAA